AAAAAAAAGTAGAAATCGAAAAACGACATGGATGCGTCGATCAAATTCGATACGTCGGTGGTTTCACTCGCGTTTACATAAGATTTATTTCACGCGTGTATAACGTATATATCTATGTGAGCGAAAGAGTGCACACATGTGTCATCGCACGTGTGCGTACGTCTGGACGATAGAAGGAAATGTTGTACCTTGGGAGAGAATGAAATAAACACATCGTGAATGCAACGTCATTGCCAATGTGTTGGTATGTACCTTCACTTTCCACTTTACCGCTAAACGGACCTTAACTCTTTGACATCCGCGAATATGAACAGCTCTCTTGACGAGTTGCAGTTGTCCTGCCTTCATTGTTTCGCTGCCTACTGTAATCCTGGAAAAGAAATAGAAATAGATTTTGAAGTTCACTACAAATATTTTATCAAATTTTGCAGAAATTTAATTTAATACTGGAAGATAGTGATTAATTATTTATTTTGAGTATTAAAACATTCAATGCTTTTAAAATTAAAATATAGAAATTATATAGAAAGTTGTGTTCAATGCTTTTAATACTTAAAATAAGTAATAATTAATTACTACCTTTCAGTATTAAATTAGCTAATATTATATTAGATTTCTAAGGAAGTCAGACGAGACAGATTAGGAATTTCAAAGGTTCACTGATCTCTGACCTTGCAAATTATAGAAATCTATAATATAACTTATGTAACGAATTAAATATATCTCATTCCTTTCAAGTCACCCATTTAGAATGCAGACATCCGTTACTGTATCAGGAAATCTAGCGAAAGCGAGGTCACCGAATCCATGGTATTGCTGGGCTTTTTAATCGCCGAGCGATTAAATTAAACATCAGGTGTTTTACATGTAATATCTGATCAATGTTCTGTATACACATCGAGGAAATTTATTAGAGTTTATTACCTTGATTGAAGCCAATTGAGATTTACTTTGCGAATTATGATCACAGAGTAATTATCTTGCCTTATCGTTTAATGAAAAAATTCACTAATTGGAATCACTAATCGTGAAGATCAAATTCAAAAAGACGTATGTATATATCTTAAATGACAAAAATTCTTATATCTCATAATATTTTTAAGAATTTTTTATATTTAAAATTTATGAAGATTTCTAAAAAAAAATATTTTTTAAGTTTTTTCAAATTTTGTTAGTTTTCTTTGAAAATTATAGAATGAGAAATCTTAAAACTTTAGAATTTCGGAATTCATATATGTAAAGAAAATGTAGCCCGGTAAAAAGTTTTTTCATGCATGAATATGTATAAATATGTATAAACATATATAAATATTCATAAATATACATAATTTTATATGAAATATACTCATACAACTTTTTTTATACTCATACATCCTTCTTCCTTTTGTAAAATTACTTTTTAATGTAATAAAAATAACAATAGTAATGTGAAAACTTAAAAATAATTAAAGGGTAATTTTCATACTATTTATTAAAAAAGAATCAATTTTGAAGAAATTTAAAGAAATTACTTATGTATAATTAAATATAAAATTATGCATAATTGTGTATGAGCAATTTTGTTTAGTATTATCCAAATTTGTTTTTTTTCTAAAACGAACAATCCGAAAATTATCCCTTTAATTATTTTTTATGTTTGACCACATTACTATTTCTATTACACTAAAAAGTAATTTTACTAAAGAAAGAGGGACGTATGAATATACGAGAATTTCATATATGATTATATGTGTTTATGAATATTTATGTATGTTTATACATATTTATACATATTAATGTATGAAAAATTTTTTACCGGGAAACATTTTCAGCACCTTCTAAAAAGTGTTTCAATTTATATAAAAGATCTATATACAAAGAATTTGAAAAAAGTTATATAGAAAAATTCTGAAAAATTCTAAAATTTATTGAAATTTTGAAAAATTTTATGAAGAACTTTAAGAAAAAAATTTCTCTAGGATAATATAATCTTATTTTGATTTAATTCTAATATTATAAGCAAAAGGAATAAAAATGTACATACGTATAACAATTATAAGGTCACTCTCTCTCTAGGAAGAATATATCTTCATAGATTACTTTCTCTTGCGAGCCATTTTTTAATACCTTCGTATCTCCATATCGATCATGCGTCGTACAATTTCTCTCGCTATATCTCGCGTCCACTGGTACCGCTGTTTTCCTATAATTAGTCCAAATTTTAATATTGAGTTATATTAATTTAATGACAACTTAAGTTTATTACTAAGAGAAATATCACGTATGTAAAATATTTAAATAAGAATCTTGACTGCACCGAAGCTCCATAATTGTAGACATAATGTTAACTTAAGCACTTACCACGAATGTGTGTTATGAGTTTCGCGAAAACTTGTGCAACTCTTGCGTATGTAGTCACGATGGCGCGTCTGGAATAGCTAAAGAACTCTTCCGGCATTCAGAGATTTTTCAAGCGTTTTGCATAAATCATTGTACGCTTGGCTGAACAGCTAAATAATAGTGCATCGTGGCGCAGGATCAGTGTGTAAGGATTGAGTTTAGAACTTCCTAAGAGATTATCTATATTCATTCGCGGAATCAGCATTAATTAACATTAAGAATCGAAGATATTATTAGCGTACTGGCATTTCAGGCGCTATAGCGAATTTAAGATTCTACGACTATCAATATCTCACGGATTTCTATCTTTGACGCAGTTTTAAATTTTCAGTTTAAAGAGGCGATGAAGAAAAAGAAGGCGCGTGAGACGGAGCTCTGAAATATGTTAATACTTAGAAATTTGTTGTAGTGCTAATGCAATTCCGCCTTTTAGATGCTTTTAACGCATTTGCGTTTCACCGAAAGAAGCATAAACACTCGTCCGTGCACACACATATGCTCAAACATATTGGAATGCCCACAATCATGTTTCTCGCTTTCTCAAACTTCTCTTCTGGAATTTCTCTCGCCCATGTTTTCGACACGCAGGCTCTCTGTGCATACGCGACGTATCATCCTTGTACTGTGTTGAATATGTGATAACATTACAAATATTAATCGATATATCGGCATAGATCGAAAATGTGAGGATTCTTGCAATTTATAACGAGAAAAAGCTTGTTTCTAAAATATTCTGTACGTTGCATGCAACATTATAAATTTGTTAGACAACTATACTGCAGCGGGTAGCCTGTCCATTCATTAAAGTTATCGTTTTGTCATCGCTGTCAGGCGTAATTATGCTGGTTGGAACGTAATAACATTTGACAGAAAGTACGCAGTAAAAGTGGAACGTAGGCACTTGATAGCCAACAGCCAGCCGGCCTCATTTGGAATACAAGAGCGTAAACGTGTCTCGAGTAAGCATTCCCCAACCTTGACATTTTTCTTAGCATTTAGCATTTAGCGATTTTCGAGGTATTAAATCATCTGTACGATCATGATCTTCTCCTCTCTAAAACTAAATAAATGTCTGGACTTCGTAATCGCCTGGGATGAATAAAAGAACAATTTACGCAAACGATAAAGATGAAAGTATTCTAATATTTTTTTTTACCACGTAGGCTCGCGCGTAGGATTACGATTAATTGTGATAAACGCTTTGTTGTTTTCTTGAGAAGATGGAAAAAGGAGAGAGAAATCCTTTCTCGATGTATTTATGCACATATGAAGAGGTTCGAGCATATTTTCTGCATCAATGGAAAATCATTATCTCTTGTATGTTGAACTTTCTTTTATCGCTCTCTGCAGTACATTGTCAAAAGAATAAGAAGGACGAGGACAAGAAAGACGAGGAGTTCAGGTGTCCGGAGGGCCAAGGTAATGGTAATTTTGCCGATCCGGCAACTTGCAGGAGGTTTTATCAGGTAATTTAGTAATTATTAGTTTATTAGGTCATATTCATAATTTTATATATATTTTACATATTGTTCTAATTACCTTTATTAATTCCGTTACTGGTCAGTTCTGGATTATTTATCTTCGCTACGATTATTCGTATCGTGATTGTACATTCGTAATATAAATTGTATATTCTTTATTTTCCGAAAGTGCGTCGATGGATATCCCTACTTGAACCGATGTCCATCAGGCCTACACTTCGATGACATTAGTAAATTTTGTACCTTCAAAAACGAGGCGCGATGCGGACCTATCGAGACCAGTAAGTAGATACTTTTATGTTACACAGATTAAATTAAGTTGATTTGGTGAAACGAACGGAGCAAGATTTAGAAAGGAAACTGCAGGTCTTCAAAAAGTTTTTCTAATGATACAATTATTATTTTTTAAACTCGACATTTCTAGTCTTTGTTTATTCGTCAAAGCATATAATTTCCAACGTAACATTCGTAGCCTCTGACAATGGTCTTTTAATTTCCAGCACCAGCACCAATCACTGAGCCGCCGATGGATTTGGCCGAGCGCTGTGACACGGCGAACTGTCTACTTCCGTACTGCTTCTGTTCCAGAGACGGCACGATCATTCCTGGCGGTCTTCATCCAGAAGAGGTAAAACGACTTGACTGCGAATTTTCGCGACGATCTATCAATTTATTCAAATGTAGATAAATACAACGATTTGAATAATTCCAGACGCCGCAAATGATAATAATGACGTTCGATGGTGCAATAAATCACAACAACTTCGATCACTATCAAAAGATATTCACCCAAGATCGTTTAAATCCCAATAACTGCCCATTGAGAGGCACGTTCTTTATCTCTCACGAGTACTGCAATTATAATATGGTTCAGAGTCTGGCACATGACGGTCACGAGATTGCGACTGAGACGATCTCGTGAGTAATGTAAATATTCGCGGTGCATTAGGATCATTTCGCTGACGAGACAAATATTTTCAGACTCCAGAAAGGTTTGGAGGATAAAGGTTATGAGGAATGGGTCGGCGAGATGATCGGAATGCGCGAGATACTAAAACATTTCAGCAATATTTCGACCGGTGAAGTCGTCGGTATGCGAGCGCCTTACTTGAAACCTGGTCGCAACACTCAATATAAGGTGCTCGAGGACTTTGGATACATATACGATAGTAGTATAGGAATCTCGCCATTGAAAGTACCGATCTGGCCGTACACTCTCGACTACAAAATCCCGCATGAATGTAAAGCGGGCACCTGTCCCACTAAATCGTTCCAAGGTAATAGAATCATGACAAAGATTTAGATCGATATTTATAATCTTATGTTTAAGACCGTCTTAAGTACATAAGATGTCATGAGCCAATTACAAAAAACCACATTAACATTTTAAGATATTTAAGATAGTCTTGAAATAAGAACGAACTATGAATCCCGTTAGTCACATCTATTCAACTGGAATAATAATACAGGAGTATAAAAAAATATTAATAATTTAATACAATTAATACACAATAGTATATTTGATATGTGATAATTTCTAAAGAAACGTTTATACATTATTATAGGCATTTGGGAGTTACCGTTAAATGCGCATTATGTGGAGAGTTATGAAGGTGGACACTGTCCTTACTTAGATCAATGTGTTCTTCACAATCACGATCCCGAAGAGGTGTTTGACTGGTTACAAGAGGATTTTAACAGATATTACGAACAAAACAGAGCACCATACATGATGCCTTTTCATACTAATTGGTTCCAAATCAAGGAATTGGAACGCGGTCTATCGAAATTTCTCGATTGGGTGGTAACGCTGTGAGTCAAAATACATGTACATATTTATAAAAAAATCTCGATATTTCAAAATAAACATTGCATTTTTACAGACCTGACGTTTATTTTGTAACCGCCACGCAGGCGTTAACATGGATGACCGATCCGAAACCGATTAAAGCTCTGCATAACTTCGAAGGATGGTCATGTAAGAAAAAAGAGAATTTGCCCGGACCACCGTGCAACAATCCACACAAGTGTGCTTTAGACTTCAAGCCTCCCGAATCAAATTTCACAACGACTAGGTAGAAATTTATTCAACTGTCAATAACACATAAAATTACGAAATAGTAATTAAATATTTTAATAATCGTAACTATATTTTATTTGTAACAGGTATATGGAAACATGTAGAGAGTGTCCATACAAGTATCCCTGGTTGGGAGACTCAAAGGGTACAGGGCTATACAGTGATAATTACAATCCTGAAAAGAAATAGGAATGTCACTTGAGTTAGATTTAATTTAGTGCAAACGATTCGCGTTTCGTTGTTATCAAAGTAAATGTTTTATATGTGTGTGTGCGATATAGATTTATTATCGATTACACACATGTTAAGCATCTTACTGTTTAATATCGGAAACCTCATAAAATTTTAATTTGTATTTCAAATATACATACGAATCAGTACACGTAAACTTATACTTTTATCTTCGTACACAACATATACACTGGAACCTCGTAATAACGAACCTCGAAATAGTGTGAAAAATTCCTTCCGCGCTATGAGTAATACGAATGGGGAATAACAATAACCACTAAAATTTTAAATTTTATAGGAGTGAAGTAGGGATAACCTCGTTATAAGATCTCTGAAATGCACGCTATTATGAGGTTTCAGTGTACTTACTCAACAAAATTCGCATCTATTGATGTTAAGTGTACTGCTCAATCTGAAAGAGAAAATAAAATGTTTCGCGATGCTACATAAAATCTAAAAAAAAATCTGCCTTTTATTTATAGAGGATAGCAACAATTTTATAATAATTTTTCTTATATACAAAAATTTAAATATCACGATTCCCTAACTTAAAAGTACAATAAAGGAAATAGAAGGGCTCGAGAGAATAGGCGCTGGTACAAGTGCGCTAATTGTACAAAAACATCTCTCAATATTTACACGTTAATAGAAAATTTATTAAAAGACGGAAGAACAATGATAATCGTTAAATAATGGTTAATTACGAAATTGAATATAAATATTTTTATACGGGAAAATGGATGTACAAAGAATTCATCCATAACGGAAACTCCAAACACATAGTGTGAACTTATTTAAATTTACTTATTTAAAATAAAAATATAAAATAAATTTCAGAAACTTATTTAAAATATAAAATCGTAGGAGGAATCGTAGTAAAATCACTGATATGACTTATTTGAAATAAAAAATGTAAAATAGGTTCCAAAAACTTATGTAAAATATTAAATAAGGAATAGGAAGAAATTATTTGAAATATAGAATAACTTTTATATTTAAAATATAAAAATAACATGTCTTTTATTTTAAATAAGTTTTCGAAGGCTATTTCTTATTTTAAATAAAAAATAGATTTCGGAAACTTACTTAAAATATTATATAAAATAACAAATATGTATTTTAAATAAACGTTTAAATAATATTTAAATAAAAAATATTTTAATGATTTTGTTTATTTAAATATATAAATACATTTTTAAATAATAATGTTTCAGTTTTTTTATAGCTACAGCCTATAATTGATACTTAATATTAACCCTTCGCGAATCAGGAAAATCAACATGGATGATATGTGAGTATATCTCATACTCCACACGTGCAATACTTCATCATAAATATACTATAATTTAATTACTCACTGTCACGTTTATCAATAGATTGGTAACATAACTGATACAATTTATTTAAAATAAAAAATATAAAATAGGCTTCAGAAAATTATTTAAAATTCATAATCGAAAAAAAACTGATACAACTTATTAAAAATAAAAAATATAAAATAAGTTCCAAAAACTTATTTAAAATATTAAATAAGAAATAGGTCAAAAAAAAATTATTTTAAATAATAAATACTAAGTAACTGTTTAATTTTTTTTTATTTAAAAAAGTATATTTTAAATAAATTTATTTGAAATAAGACCGAGCCTTGCAAATTATCATTCATCATTTAAAAAAGTCAAGTTTGTCAATAATAAGAACAAACTGAGAGTAGTTAAAATAACTATAACATACTTGATTTAGCAGTTCTGTGTCTATTTTCAAATTAATGCTAGGTATTATTCTGTTGTTTTATATCGATCATCTCTGATATCAGTCTCTTATTATAATTTCACTCTAATATCTTGACGTCTTCTCAACTGAAATCATGACTATGATGCTAATCTATGATCTGTAATTACAGAATGTATTGTTATATTTCTATTAACATGAGACTCCCCTTGTTCTGAGATTCCCGTTTTTAATTGTCTCCCCGTTTGTTCAACATAGGTCGCATCACAGTCCTTACAAGAGATTTTATAGACAACGTTTCTTTTTACAAATCGCAAGCACCGACGAGATACTGTTAAAGATCAATATTCTTACGGAAATTCGCGTCCTTATTAAAGTGATTAATGCCTAATTCAAATTGGACGCAGCAAGCGGAGCAGCAACCAATCAGTGAGGCGATATTTACAGTGACATAAAAAATATCGCCTCACTGATTGCTGCTCCGCTTTGACGCTTGCTGCGTTCAATCTGCACTAGGCATAAGAGTAAAAAACTGTTAATATTGTACTAATTTTATGATTTATTAGTTCTGGAAACGTGTTTATCGATGTACATGCATTTAAAACTTGCAATAATACTCGATTTTTCTTTAAAATTGTGATTTTGGTATTATCGTCGAATCATCGTTTGATTATCAACAGAGATAATAATCGAATGACGATTTGCAGAGAAAAAATTGTAATTTTTCGGCAATAGGATATTATAGCTTTACAAGTTTGCATATTTATTTAAGGAGTATTTACGTAATAAAAAAT